TAGATTTTGTGTCAACTTTATAAGTAAATGTGCACATAGATACCTGCCGAGGAGCAGATCCACAGCTCTGTTATCCATGTCAGCAGGACAGTCTAAGCCACAGTCTGAGATTACAGCAACATCATCAGAGTGCTTGAGAGCTGAATCAGCATGAAGAATATTTTGAAGAAACATCCCAGAGGGAGAAGGGAAAGGCCTACAGACACCAAAATGAAGTATTACAGACAGCATTATGCAGATATTGAAAACATTTTAACAAACTTTTGCAACACTAACTTGGACGGTGGCAGGATGTTATCCTTTGGGAGAGGCAGAGGAGTGTCTTTCAGAGCCGGGGCAGAATCCATGTCACATTTCAAAGCTGACACCACCATAGCATTTCTAAGCTTGTTCCCACGCTCTAGAATAACTGAGATGTGAGAAAATGTTGGGCATTTGTTAAGACAGATTTGTCAGATCTGTGTGTGTTTGTACATCTGATGTCATGCTTCAACCGACCTGAGAGGATATCATTGTTGGTTTGGTCACAAGGCTCCTGGCTTGAAGGATTCACAGCCGTTTGACCGTTCGGAGGTTTGTTTGTTCTCGGCATCTGATTCTCCAGTGATTCTTTGATACCTTTGTCTTTCTGGGCATTTTGGAAATATAAGTGGTCTTTCCCTCTGAAAATATTACCGCAATATATACAGATTATTATGCTCAGATTTAAACTCTTAGAACAACGAGACACAGCCATTTGATTATGACACGCAACAACTTCAAACCTTGGTGTGTTTCCGCCGCTGCTCCCGGCTGATTCTACCCCGCTGCCAACAGAGAGCGGTCTGGGCTGCGAGGGCACCGGCAGCTGGTTGACATGCGGTCCCTCAGTGCTGATATCTGTGATGGGACCGGAGCTGCTGCTGTCGTAGGCTTCTGTCAGAGCCTCCAAATTAAGGGAAACCTGAAATAAAAAGCCAAAATGTGGACCAGTTCTTTCACTTAAAACAGAACTGGTGATGGCAACAAATCCTTATGTTATCAACTATTGCAGGTACAACATTATAACACCTTGAAATTATTAAGGGGTGGTTTTGCTATCCTTCTATCTATGGTGGTTTCATGGCTTGTCTCCACTGACCTGTAACTCTCCCAGCTTCTCAGATGTCGGAGATACGAGGGTGTAAAATCCACTGATGGGGTGCGACAGAGACAGACGAGAAATGCCCGCAACCTGAGCCCGTGCAATCGGCAAATGATCCGGTTTTGTCAGAATTTCCAGCACCATAGAGCCCATATCTGTTCAGTAATGACAAGTTAGTGGTTGGTTTTAAACACTGCAGCATAGGAAACTCAAATGCTAAGCCTTATTAGTTACCTGTAAGATATGAGGTAAACTGCTTTGGACCACAGCGGATGGCGAAGCGGGCTGTGGTCTTGATGGCCTTCTGTGACGTCTGCGATCCATCTCTAGGAAAGAAATGCGTCCCATTGGACGACTCCCCCCACCAGCGCAGCCTGACAAAGGCTGCAGACGGAGGCTTGTGAACTGTCCACAGTACCCGGCTTATAGTCACCCGCAGGAAGCATCTCAGCTGGCCCTCGACCAAAGGAGGGAGGCCGGTGGAGGGCGACACATCGCTGGGGACTGAAAAGAGTTGTTTTTGAATACAGTAAAGTTTGACACAAACACACAAACACTGAAAATACTAATCATATAACTGGACAGACAAGAGATTTTAGCTCGATGTTGGCTGGTGTAACAGTGAGGGATGTAACAAGTGGGGAATTCTGAGCCGATGTTTTTTGTTGTTGTTATTTGATTTCCCCTTTGTGCCAGGGAAACAAAAACATTTAAAAAGCTTCTCTGCCTTGTTGCAGCTCAAATCCATTTCTCTTCTCATCCAAGATGTGAAACTCCGAGCTGAAGAGCCGCTCACTGACCGTGCTGCTGCTTCGGTATTTGCAATATGTGCCAGTAATAATTGGAAATAACCAACACGACATTTAGCCAGCGCAAAACAGACGCAACACAACAGATAAACAACTCCTATAAGTATTTGACATTTTATTTTCTGATAGGTCTAATAACAGTAATATAATGTGTTCACTGGGGTTGTGCAAAAGCTCAATACTTTGACTTTCAGGACAATAAAATTATAATATGATCTAAACAGCCCAACAATAAAAACGAACAAACTTTTATTTCTACATATGAAGAGTTTAAGCAATATGTAATAACAATGAAACACACTTTATTAGTCTGAAGATAAACAATATTCTCGTTAACACTGTGTTAATTCTGTTAGATATGCAGAAAGCTTACAGGAAATATGCTCCTGTAAAATTAAACAAGCACGGTTTTATTGACAATATTAATAAATAATTAATAGAGTGACTTGAAGTTATAAAAGTGAACCTTAAGGTGTTACGAACTGAAATCTTTTTGTAATTTAATCTTTAGTTAACCGTGTAAAGTCCCTTTGTCCAGCCAAAACATGCAGCAGCACATATCAACATGTAGACTGAAGGTTTAGATTAAGTTACACAGCAGCAAATATATATATATATATATTAGGAACACAACAATGTTAGAGACACATAACGTTATCTGCTGGTTTTATTTTTAGACTTTTTATGCTCTAAATTAACAAAGCAAAAGCTCTGAGTACTGACTTACAAGTGAAACAAACAAACGCTCTCTAAAGTACACTAATAACACTGACAACACACGCACAAACACACAAGAGAAAGGCTGGAGCACATTAACTTATCATTAGCTGACAGCTGATGCTTAGCAGCGTTAGCAGCCTGAGCTCACAACAGTTCACCTTTCTTTTTGCTGCCTGCAGCTTTGGACCTCTGCTTTCGGCTCTTCATGCCTCCGCTCAGCGACGCCTGGTCGAAGCAGGAGCTGAGCTGTTAGCAGGCATGTTGTTTTATCACACCGCAGATAACTTAATAATCCGTTTAACAGAGCTGCACACACACACACACTCACACTCACTTAGTACACACATAACAAACAAGCAAGCGCGCAAAACTGTTTCCGAGCAACACAAAGTCCGGACGTGCCGACGTGCCGACGTGCCGCCTCCGCTGCCGCTGCTTGTCACAGAGGCATTCTGGGAAATGGAGTTCATTCTGTTGTGACACTGAAGAGTAATTTTATGCTTCTTTATACTTTACTACAGCTCAGAGGGGGTATATTGTCCCCATCTGTAATCTGACACAAACACGG